ATGGCCATCATCAAAAAATCTAGAAACAATAAATGCTGGAGAGGGTGTGGAGAAAAGGGAACCCTCTTGCACTGTTGGTGGGAATGTAAATTGATACAGCCACTGTGGAGAACAGTATGGAGGTTCCTTAAAAAACTACAAATAGAACTACCATACGACCCAGCAATCCCACTACTGGGCATATACCCTGAGAAAACCAAAATTCAAAAAGAGTCATGTACCAAAATGTTCATTGCAGCTCTATTTACAATAGCACGGAGATGGAAACAACCTAAGTGTCCATCATTGGATGAATGGATAAAGAAGATGTGGCACATATATACAATGGAATATTACTCAGCCATAAAAAGAAATGAAATTGAGTTATTTGTAGTGAGGTGGACGGACCTACAGTCTGTCATACAGAGTGAAGTAAGTCATAAGGAGAAAAACAAATACTGTATGCTAACACATATATATGGAATCTAAGAAGAAGAAAAAAAAAGGTCATGAAGAACCTCGGGGTAAGACGGGAATAAAGACACAGACCTATTAGAGAATGGACTTGAAGATATGGGAGGGGGAAGGGTAAGCTGTGACAAAGTGAGAGAGTGGCATGGACATATATACACTACCAAATGTAAAATAGATAGCCAGTGGGAAGCAGCTGCATAGCACAGGGAGATCAGCTTGGTGGTTTGTGACCACCTAAAGAGGTGGGATAGGAAGGGTGGGAGGGAGGAGATGCAAGAGGGAAGAGGTCTGGGAACGTATGTGTATATGTGTAACTGATTCACTTTGTTATAAAGCAGAAACTAACACACCATTGTAAAGCAATTATACTCCAATAAAAATGTTAAAAAAAATACTACCAATCTCATAATGACTGATATTTAAAAGAAAATGTTAGGTATTCAAATCTTATGATGTGTTACTAACAGTAAATAAGTTTCAAGAATAAAAGGTAAAATTTCAAACTAGAAGTCATGGTTTCTATCTAAAAACTGATTGATATTACATTGTATCTAGACAAGTATGAAAATAATTATGTAGAATTAAAAAGATATTTCAAATAAAATGTTAATTAAAAAGCACAAAATTGTTTATATACCATTATGGAAATAAGTGAAAAATATGAATGGTCATATCTATATCCTGCAAGGACATAAATACTGAAAGCAACTATGAATGAAAACAATATGAGAGGGTAGTGGGATTATAAGTGATTTTTAAAACTGTTTATAATTTAAAAGTTGTTATTCCTAATAGCATGAGATTTAGAGAAAGTAACTAAGAAATAAACTCACCTTTACATACTTTGGTTTATAAACACATTATAAACAATATATCATTTATAGATTATGTTTTTTTTTCAGACTATATTTACTTTTAAATGAAAAAATGGCTTAAATATTAACATTTGGATTAAGGTTATGACTTACTGACATTATAATCATCTCTTAGTAAATAAAATAGTAAGTTAAATTACAAAATATCATACACGAATCCTTTCATCTTTTATGATGGTTAAATAAAAAGGGTATATCTAAAATGAGTAATCTGCTTTCTTTCCTCATTATCCTGAACACAGAGGAAAATATGATATTATTTAACTTTAACATATTCCTAAAGTATTAGCATTAGTTGAATGCTTATTTATATAATCCTTTCTCAAATTTTATATTATACCAAACATAATTTTTACAATAAAAAAATTACTTCATTTTTATTGCCAAATAGAATCATAAAATCATGTCACAGAAAATATAATAGGATCATCATACTGCTTGAAATGCCGGAAACAGTGATAGCCCAAACTGAAAATGTTTCTTGGAAGACTTAATATTTCCTAGTACACACAGGTCTTTGTAAATGACTGAGGACTAGAGCTCCTTTTCCTAAGAGAAGTCTTTCCATCGCTTTGTAAAACTCCTATCTGCATTATCCTGGAAATTTGGAAAATATTGGTGAAAACAATGGAATCACTGAATATCAGGCCTCACTCACAATAACTAAATTCTGGGACCAAGCACCTTCTTTAAAGACATTTAAATTTGATTAAAATATTACATTACCAAGGAGAAATAGCACACTATTTAGTTACAGATGTCCAGTTGTAAAAGTCCATTTATCTGCCTAGGGACAGTTACAGGAACCCTCAGAAATTTTATGACTATTTTGCCCTGCCAGAAGAAAATCTACCTCACCATTCCCAAGAATAATGCTAGGTCATTAGATTATTTATAGACTCAGACATTCAATCACAATTTATTGAAAGGCTAATATATGCTACACATGTGCTGGACTCTGGCAAAACAAAAAGTGAACAGGATAGATATGATTTCTGTAAATCCTAGGCTAAAGACCCAATAAGAGACGAAAAAAAAGAAAAAAAAAGTTCAGTTCCATCCCTGTCCAGCGTGTGGTATTATGTTCTGTGATGCACAAAGTTCCAGATATTATAAAGGCATTCAGGAGACTTAAGGAGTTAAAGCAAAGTTGACACCTAAAAGATGAACAGCACTAATAGATGGGTACAGCAAGTGGGAATTAGGTCAGAGGACTCCAGAATGAGTGAGATGCATGTACAGAAGACTTGCAGACAGAGGACACATGAAACATTTACAAAGTTCAAATTAACTCAGTATGGCAGGAGCTGAGGGAGAGAATTGAGAATGGGATATTCTGTATAGATATTACAGTATCAGGAGTGGAGGAGTAGATAGGATGGTAGACTTGGGACCCCTACACCAGAAGCAAAATTAAAAACAAAAAAACAAAAAAAAACAAGTTGAGAATGTGGAACTTCATACCTAAGTCTATAGAGGGTATAACACAGGTGAGTAATGTAACTGGGTTTCTGCTTCAGGAGAATAGTCTAGTTCCAGACTGCTAGTGGGTGATTGCTACTGGTGGGAGGTTGCAGGTGGCCTGAACTAAGGAGGTTGCTCTTGACTCTAAGAAAATTAGACAAACCACCATGCATGGGAGTTAGAAAGATGTCTCTTGGATTGGGAGTGGGATGTAAATACAGTCAAAACAAAACCCAGGTTCTGGTTAATCAAGTGGGTGGAAGGGGAGGCAGAGCTGAAGGTCCTGACCTCCAGGTCTTGTATGACACACAGATAAATCCAACAACTGGGTATTCACACCCAGAGCTCAGGAAAGACAGACACTACAGCAAGGATTTGAAAATAATCAGCGCTGCTGATGAAGCAGATTACCTAAGAATGCATGTAGCTGGGGAAAGGAAATGTCTCAGACAGACACCTGCAGAACACTTAACTAAAACAATGCAGGAAGAGGATCACCCAACCCCTGAAACCCCTACACACACAGAGTGTTAAATTTTAAAAATGTATATTAAAAAAAGAAAGAGAAAGAGAGAGACTGAAAAGGCCAGAAAATTATTAGAGAAACCAGCAGAGCACCATGGAAGCAAAGGGAAGTATTTCAAATTGGACCAAACGGGATGAACATCGTCAAATGTTATCTTTGGATGAAAGAGAAATGAGAGCTGATGAGTGTCTACTACTCAGCAAGGATGTCACAACAGACCTTGACAGGAGCCATTCCTGGGGGTGATGGGAAGAGGAATAGTGGTAGCAGTGAGTTGTCTCTACTTTAAAGAGTGTGGCTGTGAAGGGGAGGGAAAAAGACAGGCAGGCTGGGAGGCAAGGTAGATTGAAAAGGATGTTGCAGTTTGTGTTGGCTGGGTTCCTAGGATAAGAAAGGCTTGAGGGTCTTTAAAAGTGCTGATGAGAAGGAGAGACGTACAGCTGGGAAAACTGCTACCAGACAGAAAAAGGAGCCCACTGGGAAGGCTCTGTAGGAGGGCTGGAATGGGATGAAAAGCAAGGTGGAAAGATTAACTAGAGAAGGGGAATCTACTTCCTCCATTTTTATGGTGGAAAAGCTGCCAGTGTGGGCTTTTCCTTGAATGTCTTCCCATGCAGATAGCTTTTATTGGAATTCAGGCTACTCACTCCACTGAAACAGCAGACCCCATCTCCCCATCCTCTCTTCCCACAATGCAAGTTTATCTGGTAATCTCTTTTCTAGGTATTTATGAGTAAGCCAGGCATCATCTTAGTATCTCAGAACATTGTTTTAAGCACTGAATTACTAAACATATACGTGTATGTTTGTGTGTATATATGTGTGTATATACATGTGTATATATACTTAAGTGTATATGTAACAATTCATGTTCTATTTTAATTAGATTCCGGCGATACAATCTTATTACAAATTTTGCAGTCAGTAACACTGTCAGCAAGCTCAATTATACATGTTCCAAAAGCACATAAAATTTCATTAGACAAATTATACCTTTGTCAACTATAATCCATCAACCTTGTTATAGAATAAGTGCAAGAGGAAGCATTCTGGACCTACAGTTACACCCCAACGTTAAGAGAGCTATTAACTTTGACAACGGTGACTCAGGTGAAACAAATGATCCCTTACAAACCTCAACATTTCTTATTCAGAGAGGATACTCTGTATGAGGGAAATGTGGCTCACTCTCAAGTAAGCTATTACATTAAACACTAAACTGAAATGTGTTACAAATAGAATAGAAAGTTATCCATCTGAGGAAAAATCATCAGTTTGATTAATAGAAATGAAACCAGATAATACACTGTGTAAAAGATGAAACTAGTAAATTGTCGGCACCGAAATAAAACTTCTTAAAGATATTTTTAAGTTTTTTTTTTTAATTGAAGTGTAGTTGATTTACAATGTTGTACCAATCTCTGCTTTACAGCAAAGTGACTCAGTTATACACATATAGACATTCTTTTTTTGAAATATTCTTTTCCATTATGGTTTATCGCAGGATATTGAATACAGGTTCCTCTGCTATACGGTAGGACCTCGTTGTTTACCAAGCCTCTTAAAGATATTAAAGAAGGAGGGGAAGGAGGGAAAGGGGGAGGAGAAGAAGCCATTCTATATATTGCTCCATAATCTATCTCCAAGAAATAAGGAAACAGAGAATGGTCACTGTGACTCACCTTGGTGGGTCCATTTCCATTAATTGCCACTGGTAATGTTTCATAAAACACATTCTTAGCTCTGGCTTTGCCATTTTCAAATTTCAGAACAACTTCATCTGGGTTAAAAAGACAGATTTTAATAATCTAAAATGTGTATGTATGTATTCATACATACATATACATGTGTACATATATATATATACATCTTGTTTTTGTTATAAAATTTCTCATGCATGCTATTCCATGTGCTACACTTTTGGAGACTTTGCCTGCTCCAAGTCAGCAGATATCTAAAATGAAGGACAACACTGACACAGATATGGATTCTGAGCACCTGACTTTCTCCAACCTGGTGCTGGCAAACTGAGGTGCTAAGCCACCAAGGGGTCTTGGTGGAAGGAAAGCATCTTTGCGATACTGCCTCTGCCTTTTGAGAGTGACATAATCCCAGATGAATTAAATTACTGCCTCAATTTATTCATCTATAAAATGGGATTCTTGCCTGCTTTTCTAGGTTATTATAAAGATAATAACAATATATGTATGGCAAACAGAAAACTGCCAGGCATAAGCTAGGTTTCTACAACTGGCCATCACTGATAGTATTTCCAGTTCTTGAAAAACAGGCCTGATGTAAATTCCAGGAATATACAACTCACATGGGAGCAGAAACATTTTTTTGTTTTGTTTTCAAGTTCCTTTCCGCACATTTCCAGAGCACTCCAAACTAAATGCCTTCCGTTCTAAGAATCTTTTTACTTATGAACTGCCTTGAAGAACTGTACTGAACTGCAATGTATTTTTAATTTCTGAAATATTAATGCATTAATGTATGTTTATTTTTAATGTATCAATTAATTAAATTTAATGTGTTAATGTATTTTTGTCAAGATACATGTCTATCAGGAAAACACATATGGGCATGCACACACGCACACGCACTCACTCCACAGTGCACATGTCTCGTTACCAGTTACCTTTAACCTAGGTTAAAATACTCTAATAACTCCTGAGTAACTCACAATGTAAAGAGCTGATACCGAAAACCGTGTAATAACAAAGTGTAATTAATTCAAAACTATATCTACAGTCCCCAGATGGTGAGATACTAAAGTCTAAGTTACCTAAGGGCAGAAGCTTATCTCTTTGTACTATTCTTGGGAAATGATTTTAACTGAATGTATTTATATCAAGCTCAGCTTGAGCACAATGTTTTTAAAAGCTGCAATACCTACACATCAATCTTAGTCATAGTCCCAAATGAATATAACAAAAGACAGACAGTTGAAAACACAGGTGTTCATTTGCACACATGAGCAACCCAGTATTTAGGAAGCATACCTACAGCTCCATTTAAGGTCTGGAAAATTTTGCATTTGTGATCCAGTGTGATGTTAAGAGCTTCCTAAAAATGAGAATAGAAAAAAAATATTAAAAATGACAATAAAAACAGCAAACAACACTATCATGTTACTATAGTTTGCTTTTTTAGGAATTTAAAGATCCTATACATAAATTATTATAGCAACCTTCTTCAGAAAGACCCCTGTTAGGTTAAGCTGTTGAGGTTGGGGATTATTATCATGCAGCATAACCTCCCTGACTGCTATAATAGGTTTATAATTAATCAACCTAATCATAAAGATTAATCTGCTTTACAAATCTTATTCTCAATGTAGTTTTTCAGCTACATTGCTCTGTCATAATAATACTCCTAAAATTGTCTTTGCACGCTGTTATGGATTGAATTTTTGTGTTCCCTCAAAATTCCTATGTTCAAGCCCTAACCCTCCCTCTGTCTCTGTCTCTCTCCACCATGTGGGGACACAGCAAGAAGGTGGCTGCCGTCTATAAGCCAGGAAGAGAGCTCTCACCAGAAACCAACCATTCAGGCACCCTGATCTCAGATTTCTAGCCTCCAGAACGGTGAGAAAATAAAGTTCTGTTATTTTAGTCACCCAGTCTATGATATTTTGTTATGGTAAACCAAGCAGACTAAGACACATGCTAACCAGATAAAATCTTATGCTTAGAGAAAAACTTAAATAGGATTTACACAACGAAAAATATTACAGACCCAGCAGTGATATTTCAGAGGAAGCATCCTAAAGCAAAAACAATTAAATAAGACTCAGAGCACTTTCACTGTTGAATTACACTCAGAAAGACAAGCATCAAGCTGCACGGGCTAGCACTCATGCCAAGAGTAGGTTTCTGCTCTTGGATTAGAAACCAAGTCCTCAGGCTGGCCATGCCAGGCACGTAGAGACAGTAAAAAACTGGAGAAGGAAAATAAGCATTTAAAGAATACAGTTTCTTAAGAAGTATCTAATGAAAATATATAGATAACTGGAGTATTTATCTAAGAAAAAGCAGCAGCTACAATTGCAAACTCACTGTAAAATATACGTAAAAAAACACTTATGTTTCCTAATGACAGCACCTAGCAATACACAATTCAGTAAATTTTAGAACTGTACTGGTTATACATAGTAAACTTATGAAACATTAACTTACACTAGGTGAATATACTAAAAATATTATCAAATTAGAGAACTTTGTTTTTACTTTTCTCCAAAGTTTCATTTAAACCAGTCTCAGGAATATTGTCCTTAGGGTTTACGGCAGGCTGCTATTGTCCCCAACATTCCTCCCGTTAATAAGAGAATTCAGATTTTTAGTAGGACACATGTACTTGAAATAAAGAACAAAACTCCTTTGCATATTATGTGTGGCCAAATAAATATGTTCTGGTCAAAGAAAAGTATGAGAAAGTATTTTGTAAGACTTCTAGATAAGCTACTTAGGGAGCATTGACACAACTGAAATGGCCCTTTATTTATTATTCTGCCTGTTAATTGCCCAGAATATGGATGCAATGGCTGGAGCACCAGTAGCCATTTCAACAAGGAAGTTACACTGAAAGTGAGAGCTATTACCTACCCTCTTCAATGGATCAATGTAAATTTTAGTATAAAATAACTGATCATCATCATTATCCTGGAGATTCCACTGTTGAACTATACGGTTGATATATGGAGCATAACCAATAAATCCTGCAATACAAAAGAGAAAGAATAGAGGATTCAGAATTCAAAGACCAAAACTCACGTCTATGTTAATTTTATAGACCAGTCGCACAGATTTGTAAAGCTATTAGTCCTAATCCTTAATTTTGAATTTCACAGCTCACCATGACAGAAATATGAGTTATTGGGTATCCTTTGTTTCCATATATAAACTACAAGAGAGGAAGTTTTTACTACCAATTGCAAAATCAAAGACTCTCTTTGAATAAACGTATTCCCCAAATTAATTGACACAAGAGGGAGAACTAATGTTTTAGAAGGCTTGTAAGGGAAAAAAGAGTTACTAGGAAAAAATTAGAATTAGACAGAAGAATTTTCTTTCTGACCTTCTAAAATGCTGTTCCTAGATCCTTTGTAAAGGATTCACTGTTTCTGAAAAAAAAAAAAAAAACTCTACTACAGTGGTTTTAATGTTAGTATGCAATCAAAGGAATGTTGGATCTGTCACTGACTGCAAACATCCCAAAGAAATTTTATATCTAGGACATTTGGGGAATTTTTCCTTCACTGAGCTAGTCAGTAGTGTGTTTGCTAAACCATTTTCTGGCTGGGTTTTGTGTGTCATGGTCTGGAGAAAGGAAGTCTAAAATTGGATTTTTCACCTTGGCCTTAGAGCATAAGCATTAAATATGCCAACAACAGCTGTCTGTAAAAGACACAGAAAACAGGATCATTTTTCCCGTGTTTGAGTCTTCCCCTGAATTTCAGAAATGCAGCCAAACTGCTATGCTTCATTGATATGCAGTACTTTTTAAAAAGGACCAATTTTATTCCTGTGAATTGAAAGGAAACCTAGTTTGTTACCCTCAAAATTAAAATGTCCTCATAGGAATAAAAGAATTAAAAGAAATAAGTCAAGGAATATTATTGTTAACTAGAGAAAACAAGACAAAATGAAAACATGACTAAATCAATCACTGGTGGCCCATTTTTTTGTGTCATTTTTGCCAAATAAAAAAATCCCAAAACACTGAAAAAGATGTATTTTTTAATTCTTATAACCAATCTTTTGTGATAAAAAGCATATTCAAGAAGCAACACATGGTATTTTCCAATGGTTTATACTACTGTTTTTCAAAAACTATGTTTCCTTATCTGTTTCATAAATCCCAAGTGTCCTAAAAAGTGAAAAGGAATTACATCTATTTTCATAGTATGTGATATATATTTTATGATTTACATATTTCTATTAAACTGTCATATTATTTCAAAAGAATTAAGTTTCTAATATTATGCAATTTTCCTCATAAGGAAATATGTTTACTCTCCATGATAAAGATTTTTTTTAACCAAATGAGGTACCCACAAACAAAACTCATGTCTCTTAAATAACTCTCAATATATCATTCATAAACTTACACAAACTTTTATTGAACATACTTAGACTTTCTAGCATTTCTTTAATTATTTTGACTACAGAAGGCATAAGGATGACGTTTTGATGTCCTTGTATGATCACTTTCCCACATATAAACACCTTCTCCTTAATTAAACTTGCTCACAAAGGCACTCGCTAGTGTTTTGCTGTTTCCACAGTATTGTGCATCTGTTTGAGATTCACATTCTGGAGTAGATATATCGTTATCTAGATACATTTACATATGATGTATTTCACTCTACATGTTTAGAAAAACTAATAAATACAAAGTAAAACTTATCTCAGAGTTCCATAGCTAAGCGGCTCTTAAACTACCTAGGGCTTAGGATAAGTTAAAAGGTTAGCCATGTGTCACTGAGGGTCTGACAGTTGGAGATGGAAGCTGCACTCATTCCCAATTCAATTGCTCAGAGAAGTCAAGAGTGGGCAGCCATCTCTACTGTAAATCTAAGAGGAAGGACTGCTAAAATACTGAGGACAAAGTGACCAATATGAGAAACCCTGGGTTCTGTCTTGAATATTGAAGTAAAATCCAAAGGTGGTAGATAAATTAGGAGAAAAATTAAATGGTCAGGAGATCCCCAAAACTATGAACTTTTTAAAAACATGGAGATGAAGAGAAAAAGTGAGCTGAAACTAGGTAGTACACACTGGGATTTGAGGTTTCAAAAATGTGATATTTATGTGGGTTGACAAAGTTCCAAGGTACCATAAGGAAATGGGTTGCTAAAGTAAAATGCAGGTGAGTACGGCTGTTAATTGTGGCATCTCAGAAAAAGGGAATTACTTGCTGAAAGTTTCATTGACAAAAGTAACTGATCAAAGTCTAGATTCCAGACATGATGATATCTCAAGCAGCACTTATTTGAACTGACCTGAATACAATCAGTTATTATATATAAATTACCCCAAAATCTGTTTTCCCAGTGTGGCTTGCAATTTCCACCCAACTTGTTTCTTTGACATGTCCCCCATCCTACAGCCATGTCTTCTGGCCATGTGTTTATATTATTCACAATCTAAGGAAAACATTTTGGAGTTATAATAAGGTCCAAAGTCAAATTTTATTTTTTGAAGGAAAGAGGGAAATGTGATAATTTGTTCCTTTAATCTATGGTGGCATAGCTAATGCAGTACTTAAAGTACACCTAGACACTCAATGTTGAATCTTTTTTTGACTAGGGATTTCAAGATAAATAATTTACTCCAATATATTTAAAATATAGATAAAATTAAGTAATGCCTATTTTTTAAAGCTACATGAGTGTAACTTGCACTTTTTCCTAAGTAAGGGAATTTACTAAACCCATTGTCCTAGAGCCAGAAAATTCTTAATGAAATTATAGTCAGAAGACATGGATCCCTGTTGTTTTTCCTTTAATAACTAAATGTCTCTAAAAAAAGTCACTTAAATCGGGGAAACATGGGTTTTCTCACTTATAATGCAGAAATAATAACATTTACACCGCCTAGTGTTGTTAGGAGTATCATATGATATAATAGATGAAAAAATGCTTTGTCAACTATAAAATGCACTGTGGATTTTTTTTTTTTTTTTTTTTTTTTTTTTGTGTAAGACGAACCCGCGTCCTCCGCATCGGCAGGCGGACTCTCAACCATTGCACGACCAGGGAAGCCCTGGATTTTAAACTGATATAATTTTCCCATAGGAAAAGAAGATAATGGTTATTTCAAACCTCATGTCTACAGTTACATATTTTAGAAAAGGTTGTTTCATCAATATTTATAATTTACTATGACTTGCATTACGCTTTTCCTCCAGCACCTTACCCACCTCCCGAATTCAGGTAGCGCTTCCCAATGTGCACAATGGGATACTTGTCTGCTAGTCTTTTATCCGGCCACAGAATTCCATCTGCTGCAAAGACCACTTTGTGGTTCGACTTTTGGAACTTTTTTAGAACTTCTTCTGGACCACCAGCAAATATAACATTAAAGCTGTTTGATGAGGGAAAAAAGAAGTTTTAAAATATAGTTGCCAGAATTTAGACATATAAACCAAGAAACAGTCTCTAACAAAAGTCAGAATTTAGAATCCAACACAGGATTAATACCAACTATTTACAGAGTAAACCAAACAAGCTTCCCTCAACTTAAATTATATGGATTGTATTAAATTATTAGTGTTTACATTACATTGGCAAATGAAATCCAAATAAAAGACAGCTTTTTTATTTAGCATTAATATTTTTCAATAATCACTTACTCTCCAAAATTAAAATTCTAAAAGTGTTGAAATGTTAAGAATCAGTAACTTGCTGTATAATATAAACACAATCATTGACAGAAGCTGCCATTGTAACTGCCTAATGTTTCTATCTAATTTGTACCCATCTATTACAATTTCTGAAGATTTCTTTATCTTTGACAAAATGTGTTTACCTACTAAATGTCATCAATATAAATTTATATTTGAATCACTATTTAGCCTGAAATCCGAAAATAAAAGTATATGGACAAGTGCATTTTTTAAAGCTCAATACACTTGAAGAAAATATGTAAAAAAATGAAATTTATAGTTTCACTGATTTTTCTGGGGACTTTATTCCTCATAGTTCATCCACAGAATCACAATGACTTATAATATGAAATTATTATAATTCTTAAAATAATTCTTGCTACAACTACAAATTCTTTTGCAACTTTTTTTAACATCAGAGTACCTCAAAACCAAAGGTTTCCAAAGATAATAAATTAATGACTTGACATCCCAGGTGGCAAACAAGAAGAGTAAACTAATGCTCTTTATTTTTTTTTTAATTTTATTTATTTTTTTTAATTTTTACTATTTATTTGGTTGCACCGGGTCTTAGTTGCAGCAGGCAGGCTCCGTAGTTGCAGCTCACCAGCTCCTTAGTTGCAGCATGCGGGCTCATTAGTTGCGGCATGCATGTGGGATCTAGTTCCCTGAACAGGGATCGAACCCGGGCCCCCTGCATTGGGAGTGTGGAGTCTTATCCACTGCGCCACCAGGGAAGTCCCACTAATGCTCTTTAACTTAGCACCAGGTCTTCCTAATAGCCAATAGTCGAAATGCACTGCTGTGATATCTGAATTGGGGAGTAAGGAGGCTGTTCCACATGCCTTTGCCAGACTTGCTCTCAAGGAGTTTGTTAATATGCTAGGACAGTATTAATGCATCAGGCAACATTTAATAACTTTCTATATATGAATTATTTTATCAAAATAAAAGACTATTTCTCATCTCTATAAAAGTAAAAATCCAATGAAACTTTAAAAAATTAGTTTAGCAAGAATAGCGTAAGTTTACACTTATGGCAGAGATGCTAACTGACCCCCATATGCCCCCAAAGGCATTCCTATGCCTTTATTTTAATAATGGAATCCCTCATGATAACTGGGCACATGGCTAAAGATTACTCTGAAGCCATGTGGCCACATGACCAAGTCTGTCCAACAGAGTGTGAGTGGAACTGGTGTGTTCCTGCAGTCCCCAGGTCTTGTGCTTTAAAAAGGAAGCTGCCTACCCTCTGTTTCCTGTCTCTTTTTTTCCCTTAAAGAACCAGACTTCACAAGTATACACGTCCTCACCAGATAGTCCATTTCTCAATCTTTTTTTTTAAAAAAAAAAAGAGGATTAAAATGTTGCTAATGTGCAACTAAATTTAATAATTATGCCTAGCCAATTTTTTAAAAAATAGTAAACGTAAAGTTGGAGTCAGAGAGATAGACTATTTTTTTTTCATTTTAAATTGTTCTAGAGAATTTAAATTTTATCATTGCTTTTTATTTCAGTTACAAAAAGTAACTTCAAAATTAAAACATATATTGATATATGTGTACATAGATACACTTTTTGGCATATAGTTTTTTCTTTCTTCTAGGATCAATGGGCAGGAAATTTTTAATACTATTAATAACATAATCATAAAGTGACTCAGTGCGTACAATTTGAAGTCTGCCAGTTGGGTTTCTAATTCCAGCTCTGTCACTTGCTATCTGAGTAACCACAGACAAGTTAGTAATTTAAACTCTTTATGTTTTAGTTTCTTTAAGTATAAAATGAGGGGGAAAGTAGTATCTATCTCATCAAGTTATTGTTAAAAATAAAAAAGAACAATACTTGACCCATTATAATCTCTCAAAAAAGTTAACAAAATTAACATTACTGTTACTATAGGAAAGGGACTGAGGAAACAAGAGTTAGGAGAAAAACTCATTTTTAAGTTTACACCAGTCTGTAGTTTTAAACAACTTTATTTTTAGCCAAATACACATACATTTTAAGATAAATTTTAAATCAGAATAAATTTGTTCTGACTAAAACCTCAAGCCAACTCTTCCCTCCCTATTTATTTACAAAACTGAATTAATCTGACTTCACAAAATGATATTTACATGAATACAACAAGTTTCTTTTTTTCTTATAAGTACAACTGATTTCATCAGTATGATCACTTTAGATTTTTGTCTCCTAGGATAATCCTATCTCTTCTAACAGGGATATTTTCCTCAAGACTGCTAGTCACCAATATAATTTTTTTTTAATATTGAAGATTAGGAAATAAGACCAGTTTTACATGTAAGTGAGCCATGAGCGGTGAGGCAAGCAAAGCAAACCCTCTGAGGCAGAGACTGCCTGGCAAGTTGCAGAGGAACACCAACACATTGTCTGGAGAGATGGATGAAGAGAGTTCATTATGTCAGAGAAACATATGATTGGAGACTTGGACCAAATTGATTCAGATATTTTGTAGGTAGCATCATGTATTCAAAGCTATAAATGCACAGTTGGCAAAGTGATTGTTTTGTCTTTGTAATCCCAGCGAAGGATATAGTATCTCCACAGTATAGCTCAAACTATTAGCAGACGTCAGTAGCTTGAGAAGGAGTGTTAGCAACTTGTGCTCTTATAATTTAGTATTTTATAAGCAGGCATTACCTTTATAAACAAAAAGCAATTCCTGTAAAGCAAAATGTAAAAAGGCAAAAATTATCTTCATGTAATTCAAATGAGGATCTGACTTTGAATAAAAATTGAAGGTTGCTGAAATGTTCCCCTTTTCTTCTAGTAGCATTGCTGTTTCTGTGTTTAAGTACTTCAGGAAAGTTCTTTGAACCGATTTAACTTTTCAAAGAGCAAGAAAGGTTTTCTACTTAAAATTATTTTAGCCACAACAACCCAAAAGCTCAAACTTTCTAAAAAATGCACAATAGTCATAAAAATAATTCTCATAGTAAATCGGTCCATTTAAATATGAAGAATAAAATAAAACTTTCCACAGCTAACTGTGGTAAATATTCCTGGGTCCTGCAAAAACCATAAGGTAGAAACCTCATGTGGTCATATTGAGTCCTCTAGCAGACATGTCAGTGTTCTAGCTCTAAGAGGTCATTGAAACTTTTACAAGTGTTTGCCCTTCTGTGTTCCCTGTTTCTGTGGCACCAGCAACCATACAGTCACCCAAGCTGAAAATCTTTCACTCAGCCTTCCCTCCTCCCTTTCCAAAGCTTCTCTCATCAAATATTTTTCCAGATCCCATTGATTCCATCTACTTAATCTATTTAGAATTTAAAGCCTCTCTACTCCCACTAGAAGTCACTGGACGAGATTAATTCAAACACCCTACAAGCCTCCACATCACCCACCTTCCTCCCCACTTCTAACAAGGACTGTCTGACAAACTGTCCTGAAAACTATTCTGTGCCAGTCCCCTGACTGAATCGGTGGTTCTCCACTATGGTCTAAAGTAGGACACAGCAAATATTTACTATCTAGCCTTTCACAGAAAATACCTTAGGCTTTGAGGGCAATATGGTCTCTGCTGAGTGACTCAACTCTGCCATTGTGGTACAAAGCAGCCATAGGCAATATGCAAATAATTGAGCATAGCTGTGCTCCAATAGAACTATTTACAAAAAAGAGCCTGGGCCAGTCCATAGTTTACCAAACCCTGGCCTGTAAAATAAAATCTAAATGAATCAGCCTCACATTAATAACGTTCCATTAAATAACCTGTTCTGATGTCACACTGAATTATTTGATCTGTCCTCCATATCTTTAATCATGATGTTTCGTCTGCTTAGCACGTCTTTTCCCAATCATGTCCAAACCATTCACCCTCAAGGCCCATTTCAAAGGTCACCTCCTCTACAAACCTCTACTTGAGCAGCATAAATGTAAAAGATCGTTTCCTTCCTCTTAACCTCCACAGCTCTTTTCCTCTCCTTTTTCACAGAATGTTTTATCTTCTACTCTTCATGCTGGGATTGCCTGTTTATACTAGACTGCATGGTCTTCCTTCAGATCCACGACTTTATTCATCTGTATATTCCCCCTACAGGGGAGCCAGAGAAGAAAGCAACAGAAGTGTTCCTTAAGCTTATTTATTTGTTCCTCGCCACTGATATAAACTTAAGCCAAAAGTTATAATCACCCAAACTATTAGCAGCTAGTGTTTAAAAGCTTAAAAGCTAATGAAACTGAAGCAAGCAAGTAGCAACACACCTGATAATTCTGTCTTTATTTTTTTTTATACATCTTCATTGGAGTATAATTGCTTTTCAATGGTGTGTTAGTTTCTGCTTTATAACAAAGTGAATCAGCTATACGTATACACATATCCCTATATCCCCTCCCTCTTGCATCTCCCTCCCTCCCACCCTCCCTATCCCAACCCTCTAGGTGGTCACAAAGCACGAAACTGATCTCCTTGTGCTACGTGGCTGCTTCCCACTAGCTATCTGTTTTACACTTGGTAGTGTATATATGTCCATGCCACTCTCTCGCTTTGTCCCAGCTTACCCTTACCCTCCCCGTATCCTCAAGTCCATTCTCTACATCTGCGTCTTTATTCCTGTCTTGCCCCTAGGTTCTTCAGAACCTTTTTTTTATTTTTTAGATTCCATATATATGTGTTAGCATACGGTATTTGTTTTTCTCTTTCTGACTTACTTCCCTCTGTATGACAGACTCT